GGTTTCCATGGCAACAGGAGAGGGCCCTCCAGGCCAGCAGCGGGAGGCAGATGCAGAGATTGTGAGCTCTGCAGCTTTTCAAGGTGTGGCCTGGAGATGGGGAACAGGCATCTCTTTCAAGGGCTGTAGAAGGAAAAAGAGCTTCGGAAGGATGGTGAAGTCAGTTGTTCATTGGACAGGTTTGTCAAGTGAATCCGTGAAAGCTGAAATAAGTGGTCCAGGTCTTTGAAGGAGGGTAGGACGCTCTTAAGTGGCGGCAGGCCAGGGATCTAGGAAAGTTGGATTCCATTTTTGTTTCTCTGCTGTGTGACCTTGAACAAGTTACTTAACCTCTCTGACCCTCAGCATGTTTCCCCATTGACTAGGAGATGTGGCCAGCTCTAAAATTACTTATAAAAAGACGTATGTGGTATGAGTATAAAATGGTGTGTTTGGGTGAGTTTGGTGTTTTTTTCTTTTTGGAAAAAACCCAGCGATGCACAGGGGTTACTCCTGGTTCATGCACTCAGGGGTTACTCCTGGCCATGCTCAGGGGACCAGTGGGATGCTGGGAATCGAACCTGGGTCGGCCGCTTGCAAGACAAACGCCCTACCCGCTATGCTATAGCTCCAGCCCCCATTGTGGTTTTTCAAAACATTAAACGACAGCAGTTTAAGGTATATGACCGATCTGAGTACAAAGCATGAGACTGCAAGTGGTCCTGGCCACTATCAGGAGTGCCCCAGAGCACTCCAAACCTCAGTCCCCCAAAAATAAAAAATTAAATGGGGGCCCAAGAGATGTCACAGGAGCTAAGGTGCTTGTGTTGTGTGCTGTCCACTCTGATTCTATCCCAAGCACCACCACAAGGTCCCCTGAGCACAGAGCATGGCCCAAGACCCATACCGCAAAAACGTTAAATGGGGCTCAGGTGAGAATGAGAATTTGTTCCCCGCCCCCCCAACACACACACTAAGTTTGAGATTCCAGCAGCTGCAATGTAGCAGGGGTCTCCAGCATACCAGGTGGGCGTGTATGAGCACCACAGCCCACGAAGGGTGCACTCCCTCATGAGGAGGGGAAGAGATGAAGTTAGATTTATCAAAGAACTCAGCATTAAAAAATTGTTTTTCTTCTGTGGTGCTCAGGGGTTACTCCAGGCTCTGCACTCAGGAATTACTCCTGGCAGTGCTCAGGGGACCATACATACAGGATGCCGGGGATCGAACTCAGATTGGCTGCGTGTAAGGCAAATGCCCTTCCTGCGATATTGCTCTGGCCCCTGCATTTCCCCTTTTCTTTCTGTGTTTTTTGGGAGGGCACACTCAGCTGTGCTCAGTGCTTATTCCTGACTCTGCTCAGGGGGACCGTATGGGGTGCCAGGGGTCAACCACGGTCAGTGAAGTGCTAGGCAAGTGCCCTACCCACTATACTATCTCTCCGGCACCAGAACTGAGCATTTCTACCGAGATATCCAGTGTAGAGAATGAAAAATAAAGACTCGGATACTTGTACAAGAATTTTCATTGCGGAACTATTGCCAGCAGCCAGAAGGCCACTGATGGGTACAGAATGACACAGGCAAGGTGACAGGCTAGGGCTGAGGCAGATGGTTCCAAAGGCACAGGCTCTGCGTGCCAAAGCCTGGGTTCAAAGGTCAGCATCATATGGTCCTCCGTGAACCCAATGCTGCCTGGTAAGTCCCATAAACGATGATGTGCCGGAAAAAGCTCCCAGCCAGTGTCCAGTCTGGGCTGCCAGCCTGCCTCTGGTCACTTCCCGGGGGGTAGCCTTGGGTTGTTTCCCATCTGCAAAACGCGCTGATGTCCCTTTCCCCAGAGAACAGACTCCGCCTCTGCAGCGAAGCCAGGCACAGCACCCACTGGGGGGCATTATCTAGAGGTGATGGGGTTCACTACTCCGGAGCTGCTCAGGGAACAACCCCAGCCTCAACTCCTCAGCTCCTTGCAACCCTCCAACATTTGGGGGGGAGGGGCAAGGCGACTCCCAGGCCCAGGGTTACTCCCTGCCATGCCACCCGCCCCCCCCAGAGCTCAGCTGAAGGGGGCTGGTAGCACTTCATCACCCAGGAAGCTATTTGGGTACCAGGTAGTGTGGTAAAAGGACGGCCCTTGCACGTGCTAGTCAGGCGCTTCTCCCCACCGCCCTCCGTTATGTTCGCCTACTCTGGCACTCTTTTTTGATTTGGGGGGAGGGGGACACCCAGTGAGACTCAGGGCTTACTCCTGGCTTTGTGCTCCAGAATCACTCCTGGAGGTACTCGGGTGGATGGACTGTGTGTTGTGGGAAATGGAAGTGCCCTAACCCTCTTCTCTCTGTCTGTCTCTGTCTCGTGTCTCTCTCCAGCCCTCACTGTTTTTCCTTTCCTTTTTTTAACACGTTAGAGCACCGGTTCCTACTTCCTGGTTGTTTCAGAAGCCACTTGTTAGAAAGGGCTCGGGCTAACCAGGGCAAACCGCTATCTCTGTGGCCTTCATCAAGTCACCCCATCCTCCCTTGCTTCAGCACTAAAATGGGAAGGAGTATCTGCACCGACCCCGGAGAGAGGACGTGGACACCTTCCACCCCGGGCGACCAGCGTACCCAGGCCCCCTTCCCTCTCTTTGTGGCTCTTCCCAGAAAACACAACAATGGCCGTTTCCGAGAATGCATCTAAGAAACCTCTCAACTCCGGTGGGGCTCAGGACACGGATCGCCGGGCTCCAGGTCGTGGCGGGGGGAACTCGAATGAAGTCTCCAACGCGCTAACGTTGGCTCATTGTCCCCAGCAGGGCTTGCCATCCACTACGCCCTCGGGTGGAGGTGCGTGGAGGACCCAGGCCGGGTCACCTTCCAGAAATCCTCATCCCCGGAGACAGGTGCTGCAGTCCCCCGGGTGGCGGCTCGGAAAGCCCGTGCACCGGGGGGCGGTGAGCGGCGGGGCTGCAGTTCGAACTCGAGTCCCGGCGCGGCGCCACGCCCGGAAGCCCCCCGGCACGCGTGGCTGGGTGCAAGGCGGGCAGGCGCGCGGCGGTGGGAATGCCGAGCGGGGCTGGGAGCCGGGGCCCCCGTGCATTTGCATGCTAATACCCAGAATGCTTTTCCTCCCCTCACACCGCTTCTCTTAATGGAAGCGCTCAGTTTGGAATCGTGGAAAGTTTGGAATACTTCCCTCCCTCTTTGCAACTGTGGGAACTTCCCGCCCGCACACGCGGTGCTTGCAGCCCCGGGCTCATGTCGGACTGGCCCGCGGCGGCCGCCGGCGCTTCCCGGGCAGACGATCCTCGGGGTCTCAACCCGCGCGCCGCAGCATCCCCGGGCCCCGCTGGGGACAAAGCGTCCAGGCCTGCCGGCGGCGCCCATGGCCCCAGCGCTCGGCGACTCGCCGGGCTGCAGGCGCCGCGGATGCTCCCGGGCTCAAGAGGCCGAAGGGCGCTCCCCGGAACGCTCCAGAAAACGCCCCCCCCCCCAACACACACACACACACACACACTTCCCTGGGGGGCTGCCCGGAACGCTCCAGAAAACGCCCCCCCCAACACACACACACTTCCCTGGGGGGCTGCCGGGTGCTCCGGGAGCCTCGATCCTACCCGCCGCCCTCGCCTCTACAGTGTCGCCCGCTGGAGCTGAGTTGGTTGACTTCCCGCTCCTGGGGGGCTCAAAGCGCGGCGTCTGGCGATCTGGGGGGACGCCGGACGGTGGCCTCATCGCCCCGGCCCTTCCATGAGGACTGCGCGCGGGGTGCAGAAACAGCCCCGGAGGTTCGGCCAGACACCCCCACCCCCACCGGGCCGGGACCCCGGGTCCTCTCTGCGGCTGGGAGCGGGGAGGAGGTCGCGGGCGACTTCGGGGGGGTTTCTCGCATCGAAGGGGGACTCGGGAGGCTCCCCGACACCCGCTCGACTTACGGGTGCGCATCGCAGGCTCGGGCTTGGGGGACCCAGCTCTGCACCCTCCGGTCCTCCCCCCTTACCCCAGTCCGCTCACTGCCACTCTCAGCGGGGAGGGGAGGGGAGGGGCAGCGGGAGCTGGTTTGCTGGCTGGGCGCTTCGTTTGCATTGGTGCGGGGGTGAGGGGGGGCCGAGACTGCAGCCCCCGACCCCGCGGGCGGGGTGTGGAGGCGGGGGCCGGACGGGGGCTCAGTCTGCGCGAGCATTGGCGGAGCTGGGGAATGGGGAGGGGGGGCAGGAAGCGGGGGGAGCGGAGCGGCGGGGGGGGCTGTATAAATAGGGAAGGGGGGACGTGCATCCTCGGTTGGGTGAGGGGGGGGGCGCTCGGCACAAAGAAAGTGGAAAGTTTGCAGCGCGGGGCGGCACGGGCCAGGGATCCGGGCGCGCACGTGCAAGGCCGGGGGCGCGGGGGCCCCCCACGCCGAGCTCGCCGTTTCTCTTTTTTTTCCTGTAAGCGGGGGGGGGGTGTTGTTGGTATCGCCCCCTCCTTCTCCTCCCCCCAGGGGTGAAAGTGCAAGAGGAAGTGCAGCCGCTGCCATCTTTCCTCCGCTCCGAACACACGGAGCCCGGGGCCGCAGCGCCACCGCTCCGCCGCCGCCGTCTCCGCCGGTCCCGGGAAGGGCCAGCCCCGCCGCCGCCGCCGCCGCCGCCCGCCCGCTCCAGCCTCCGTCTCAGCCACCGCCCGCCAGGCTCCCGGATCCAGCCCGCGCTGCCGCCCCCGTGCGCGCCCCGCCGCCGCCGCCGCCGCCTTCGCCTTTTGTTTCCTCCGCTCCGGCGCCCCCGCCCCGGCTCGCGCTTTGCAGGGGACGCAGCGCGCGCCCCCAGCGGGCCCGGGGAAAGCCGCGGCGCGCGCCCGCCCGCCCGCGCCTGCGCGCCAGGACCCGGCCTCCTCCGGCCCGCGCGCCCGCGCGCGCGCGCGCCTTCCGCTCTCGCCTGCGCGTCGGCGCCGCCTGGCGGGCGGGAGGGGAGGCGGCAGGCGCGCCTGCAGGAGGGGCGCACCTCGGTGCTCGCGTCCCCCCGCGGAGGTGGGCCGAGTCGGAGCGGCCGGCGGGGCGGAGGGCGGCGAGGAGCGAGGAGCGCGCGTTTCCGCCGGGCGGGGGGAGCGATGTGGCGGGGGCCGTGCCCGGTCGCCTAGACGGTCCGACCCGGGCGGGGGGCGTGTGCGCCCGGCGCACCTGCGAGACTTGCAGCGCCGCGGGCCGGCACGTGTGGGAGTGTAGCCACGTCTGCCGCGTCCCGCTCTTCTTGCTGCCTCGGGGAAGGGACGGGGGGCGGGCGAGCGCCGCGGCCCGGCTAGCGGGGAGGGGGCGGCGGCGGCCATGGAGCGCGTGAACGACGCATCCTGCGGCCCGTCGGGCTGCTACACCTACCAGGTGAGCCGGCACAGCACGGAGATGCTGCACAACCTGAACCAGCAGCGCAAGAACGGCGGGCGCTTCTGCGACGTGCTCCTGCGGGTGGGCGACGAGAGCTTCCCCGCGCACCGCGCCGTGCTGGCCGCCTGCAGCGAGTACTTCGAGTCGGTGTTCAGCGCGCAGCTGGGCGACGGCGGGGCGGCCGACGGGGGCGCCGCCGACGTGGGGGGCGCCGCGGCCGCCTCGGGCGGCGGGGCCGGGGGCAGCCGCGAGCTGGAGATGCACACCATCAGCTCCAAGGTGTTCGGGGACATCCTCGACTTCGCCTACACCTCGCGCATCGTGGTCCGCCTGGAGAGCTTCCCCGAGCTCATGACGGCCGCCAAGTTCCTGCTGATGCGGTCGGTCATCGAGATCTGCCAGGAGGTCATCAAGCAGTCCAACGTCCAGATCCTGGTGCCCCCGGCCCGGGCTGACATCATGCTCTTCCGGCCGCCCGGCACCTCGGACCTGGGCTTCCCTCTGGACATGACCAACGGGGCCGCGCTGGCCGCCAACAGCAACGGCATCGCGGGCAGCATGCAGCCGGAGGAGGACGCGGCGCGGGCCGCCGGGGCGGCCATCGCCGGCCAGGCCTCCCTGCCCGTGTTGCCCGGAGTGGACCGCTTGCCCATGGTGGCCGGACCCCTGTCCCCGCAGCTGCTGACCTCCCCCTTCCCCAACGTGGCCTCCAGCGCGCCTCCGCTGGCCAGCAAGCGGGGCCGCGGCCGCCCCAGGAAGGCCAACCTGCTGGACTCCATGTTCGGGTCCCCGGGGGGCCTGCGGGAGGCCGGCATCCTCCCCTGCGGCCTGTGCGGGAAGGTGTTCACCGACGCCAACCGGCTCCGGCAGCACGAGGCCCAGCACGGGGTGACCAGCCTGCAGCTGGGCTACATCGACCTGCCGCCGCCCCGGCTGGGCGAGAACGGGCTCCCGATCGCCGAGGACCCCGACGGGCCCCGCAAGCGGAGCCGGACCCGGAAGCAGGTGGCCTGCGAGATCTGCGGCAAGATCTTCCGCGACGTGTACCACCTGAACCGGCACAAGCTGTCGCACTCGGGCGAGAAGCCCTACTCGTGCCCCGTGTGCGGGCTGCGCTTCAAGAGGAAAGACCGCATGTCCTACCATGTGCGCTCCCACGACGGCTCCGTGGGCAAGCCGTACATCTGCCAGAGCTGCGGGAAGGGCTTCTCCAGGTGAGGAGGGGCGCCCGCCACCCCCGCCCGCTGCCAGGATCTGGGCGAGTGGGTGACTTGGGGGGTCTTTGGTGTATGGGGGCACAGGGCAAGTTTGGGGAGTGTCCTAATGCACACACACCCGCACACTCCAGCTGCTTACTCTTCTCTCGGGGCAGTGCTCTGGTGCTCCGAGGCCCGGCTGTCTCTTTGCCATGGGGCCTTGTGGGAACAGGCCGGATTCCTGAGGCCACCGCCACTGGGCCTCCCCATTCTTCTCCCTGGGCTCCCTTTGTGTTTCCGGCACCAGGCGAGGGGCCCCCTCTGGGGGCAGGAGGCTGAGAGCTCCTTTAGCGACTTTCCCCTGCTTGAATGGCTGGGGGGGCGGTAGGGGGGGAGAAGTGTCTCGGGACTCCTTCCACTCCAGTCCCCAACCCCCCTCGGAGCACTGGGGAGCTCGTCAGGGCCTGAGCATGACACCAGCATCTGGCGGCCCCCCATCTGCAGTCTGCAGGCCACGACCTCGCTCTGGAGTCACAGACTGACCCCTTTTCTGTCCTCTGGCCCCCAAAGAAGGAAGGCAGGAGGCCTTTTTTTTTTTTTAAGATTTCCTTTCTAGGAGGGAAGTCGGCTAGGGAACTGAGGACTCTCAGTTCTGGGAGCTGAGGGTTTGTTGTTTGTTTTTTGATTTTTTTTTCCTTTTACTATTCTGAATAAAAGGCCAGTTTTAACTTGCCTGGTTCCCGAGTACCTTGTGTGTGTGCACGCGTGCGAAGGCCAGGATGGAGAACTCCCTCAGAGGGGCCCCAGGCTGGAACCAGTCTTACCGGTCAGGCAGCCCCTGCCCACCTGCTCCAGCGGGCATCTGGTTTACCAGCCCCAGCTGGGGACTTCGGGCTTCATGCCTCGGCCTCTGGGGACTGAATTCCATCCGGGTGGCATTCATTGGCTGGCGTGGCGGGAGAGGCTGGGGGAGGGGCGTGCTGAGTTTCTAAGGGGCTTTAGTCTGGACAATGAATCCCACAGCCCTCGCCATGCCCCCCCCCACCCTCCCGGAAAGGCAGCAGCAAGGCAGCCCCCGGGTTCTAAGACTACCCACCCACGGGGCCCTAGAAATCATTGAAGGGGTGGGGGGGTGGGGAAGGGGGAGGAGGAGCAAGGTCAGACCAAAGGCAGCTCACTTCCCGCCCCCCTTTACGGAACCCCCGGGCACTGAGGCCCAAGGAGCCCAAGCTGGGGGATGACTTGGTCTTCGTCAGACTGGTGGGGGATCAGGGGGCTGGGGGCCCTCTTCAGTGAGTGCGAGTCGGGCCAAGTTGGCCATCCATCCCCCGTTTCCAGTTCTTCCTCTAAAAGTCTCTCGTTTCTCTCCGTCCTAGGCCTGACCACTTGAACGGACACATCAAGCAGGTGCACACTTCCGAGCGGCCTCACAAGTGTCAGGTAGGGCCCAGTCTGGGCGGGGCCGCAGCCTCAGGCCCAGCCCGCGGGGGTGTGTGGGGCTGGCCGGCTGACCACCGCTGCTTCGCACACCTCCCCCTCGGCCCCTCCACCCTCCCTCCGTCTGCTCGCCTTTGTTCTCCCTCCAGTCCCCCCTCGCCCCCCCAGCTGCTGTCCCCTCCTTCCCGGTGGCTGGGCCCTGGTTCCCACCCCGTCTTCCGCCTTCGCTCTGCTGCTTGGCTTTCCTTCCCGCTCCTGTGCCGCCTTGGATGGCGGGGGCACGTTGTGGAAGTGGCCCGGGACATCCCATGGGGCCGGGCTTCTGCTTCCAGCAGTTTGTCAGGACCGCAGAGGGGAGGGAGAGGTTTTTTTTGGGGGGGAGTGGGGGGGTAGGTGTTGCTCTGCCTACATCGCTCCCCTGGCGTGAAGAGTTCCTTCTGGGTCCCCTCAGCACAGGGCACAGGCAGGAGATAGAGGCAGGGATAGAGGAGGTGGGCCCGGGTCCCCCCCCCACCCCCATGAGGCCTGCAAACCCTTTCCCTGGCATTCGTTGTGTGGCAGCAGGTAGGGAACGCTGGGCGACAGTCTCGACCTCTGGCTTGTCTCTTGAACTGCATCGGGGTGGGGGTGGGGGCCCTGTGGTGCCCAGAGCTTCCGAGTTTCCGTCTCCTGGCCACATGAGCATTTCTGTGTGCATGGAAAAACCGCCTCTGTCTTCTCCTTGATGGTCTGCCCCCTCCCGGGCCGGGGTACCACCAGGCGAGAGGCGCGCAGAGTTGTGGACTAACTTCGGCCTCGGGGGTGGGGGTGGGGGGGAGCTGGCATCTCTATCCGGTCCGTGGCGAGGACGCTGGTTTCCTCCTCCGAGAGGCAGAGAACATTCCTTCCCCCGCCCCCCCAACCCCGCAGGCCCCGTGTAGACAGTCTTCGCCCATGCCCGGCTGGGTGCCCCCGACCCCCATCCCCCCCGAGAAGACGACCCGGGGGACCCGCAGGGATCTGTCTCGGCCACACTTCCTGTCTTCTCTTCTCTGTCTCTGGTTCTCTGTCACCGAGCACATTCCGACTCTCCCAGGCAGGGGAGGCAGAGCCCCAAGGGCAGTGGGGGTGTGCCCGGTGGCGCGGGGGGTAACCTGCACTCTCTGCCCTTTTTCCAGGTGTGGGTTGGGAGCAGCAGCGGCCTACCGCCCCTGGAATCTCTTCCTAGCGACCTGCCATCATGGGACTTTGCCCAGCCGGCCTTGTGGAGGTCGTCCCATTCGGTTCCTGACACCGCCTTTTCCCTTTCTCTAAAAAAGTCCTTCCCCGCCCTTGAAAACATGGGCCCGGCACACGCCAGCAACCCTCTCTTCTGCCCAGCCCCGCCGGGATACCTGAGGCAGGGCTGGACGGCCCCCGAGGGCAGCCGGGCCTTTGCGCAGTGGCCCGTGGGGTAGTCAGGCAGGGGGCGGCAGCGGGTGTGACACCCCTGCTTTGCTCCGGGGCAAGGTGGCGGCTCCTCCCGGCTTGACCGGGGGTCTTTCCCGCGTCAGCCTCCCCTGAGCTCCTTTCTGGACCCCCCACCCAGTCCGCAGGTTTCCTTCTGGGCTCTGGAGTGTTTTTTGTGTCCCCACCTGTAGTTCCGGGGCGTCGGCCCCGGGTGTCGTCCTTGGCGGTGTGATGTTGGCGGGTGTGCTGTCCCAGGGACGGTGTTCCCCACTCCTCGGCATGGTGGGGGGCTTTGGATTGGGGCGTGGCCACCCACTCTAGGTGTGAGTCGTCCCCCCCCCCACACACACACAGGACACCCCTGCCACCCCACGCAGCCGGGTTCCTGCTTTTAGTTGTGGCTAGCGAGTTAGACTTTTTTGTGTTTGCTGAGGAACGAGACTAACCAGTAGCTTTCTGTCGGGTCACCCCAATGTCTGGCTTTGGAGGCTGTTAAAGCAGATGTGGCTTCCCCTCAGGCCCCCAACGGTTTACCCCGGTAGCCACCCCCCTACCTACACCAACCCCCACCTCCCACCCCGCAGGCCCCGCGGGGTCACAGGACTGCTGATAAAAGTTTTCATTCTAACATTTGAGGCTTTGTGTGTTTTGTCCTCGGTCTGTGTCACGCTATTGACAGCACTGTCCCTTGGTGGATGACCACCCCCCACCCCTCCAGCCCTGCCCCTCCGACACACACTGGCAAACCCGCTGGCGCCAGCTCCCGGGATTGACCCGGCAGAGAGACACGTGGGCCGTCAGCAGGACCCTCCCTCCCGTGTGGTGTATGTTCTGAAAATAGTGGTGATGGCATGGCTTTGGGGGACCTGGTTCCTTGGGCCTCAGGCCCTCCCGATGCCACAGTGGACAGAGGGGCCACTGCCAGAGAAGGGTGTCGGGGCTCGAGTGGCTGAGGCCATACAAGTGTGGGGCCTCTGAGCTGGGCCACGCTCCAGGCGCTACGGTCATTCCGCCCGGATCAGCCTGCAGCGGAGAGGCTGGCGCTGGCGTCGTTGTTGCTTGTGGGGGCCGCACTTCTCAGGCTGGTTGGGGGGGCTTGGGCAGAAGGGCAGCTCACGGGCTGCGTTCTGTGTGTGTCCCTGGTACCCAGTCCTGAGCTATGCATCCCTTGGGAAGAAAAATGTGGGGAAGTCTGGGGGCGGCGGAGGGAGGGGGAGTCGAGGTGAACCCAGCTCCATGGGGCCGGTGGGCCAGGCCTGGAGGATGCGCTTCCCTGGTGCCCCTCCTCCTGTCAGGGCCCCTCTCTCTGCTCCCGTGTCCAGGAGGGCAGTGCCTTGCTTCGCGAGGACCCTCCTGGAGCGGTTCTAGTGGTCCCCCCTCTCAGCTGTGTTTCTGTCCCCTCTCTCCCTCTCTCTCTGTTCGCGCGACTAGACTCTTGGGTTCTGTGATACCCTAGTTCCCAGCAGGTGGAGACAGGGCCTCGGTACTTACCCTTCAGGACTCCCTCAGAAAACCTGGGGGCCGCCGCCTCGGGTCCATTCTGGCACACAGAAGCCGGTGGTCACTGCCACTCGCCTGGGCCACCCAGGGCAAGTTTCTGTTGGTTCTGTGCTGGTGTTTCCTAACCCCCACGAGGTTGACATTCCTCATTAGGCCTGCCCAGCTAACGCTCGCTTTCATTCCGTAGTCACTGGGGGGCGGCGGAGGGAAGTCAGCTCCGGCTGGGGGTTCACTGCGCTCGGCCAGCGCCTGCTCCCCGCCCCAGCACCTAACCTGCTTGTGACCCATCGAGGCTTGGTCAGTCCATTGCCTCTAGCATAGAGTGGCAGCTGTGCCCTGAAGAGCAGGTCCCGGAAGAAGGCCTCTCCGAGTCCCGTGCTGGAAGAGAGTGCCTGGACGCAGGCTTTCTGCCCCTGCACCATTTGGAGATGGCGCAGAGCATTGGTGCGCAGAGTGGGGGTCTTGTCCCCAGATCACTGGCAGGGTGAGGACAGTAGTCCTTGCTCTGGCTTATGGGCTGAGCCTCTCTCTCCCCCCATGTGACCTCTGCTTGGATCCTGAGGTCTCTGACTGAGGTGGGGCCCATCTCTCGCCGTAAAATCTGGTGCTCTTGAGGCTTTCAAATCCCCCAGTGGCTTATTTTGGCCCACACAGCCTTCTCATCAGTCTCTAATGGGGGAGTCCTGGCGACCAAGAATGCTAGGTTAAAACGTTTCGTTTGTTTTTGGGGAACCACACCCAGCTGTGCTCAGGGCTTACTTCTGGCTGCGCTCAGTGATCACTCCTGGCAGTGCTCGGGGAACCATATATAGTGTGGGGGATCGAACCTGCTTCAGCCTCCACAAATGCTACTACTACCCCCTCGGCCCCTCTAGGTTAAAATGTATCAGCATCTCCCCCTCTGCAGAAGCCCCCACTGAGTCTGGAGATGGTAAGAATCAGGCTCAGGGGCTGCCTCACATCTCACCTGTCCCATATCCTCTGAGGGCCTGGTCCCCTTCGATGGGAAATCAGGAGAGATGGAACGCCCCACCCCCACCCCAGGAGTCAGAAGGGGATAGGGGACCACCTGGCAGTGGCACGGTGTTTCCAGGGCTCTTTTTGGTGCAGTGGAGTTGTGTGTTGGGGCCAAATCACATTCTAAACTTTATTTGTCCAGTGTATTAAAAAAAAAAAGAACAAGTAGTGTTTCGTTTGCATGCATAGTCCTGTCCAAGTTTGGAACAGCTACTTAGAAGAAAATGTGCCCAGCAAGTCCTCTCCTGATGCACGCAGCCCTTTGGGACCTAAATGTTAGCGGTGGTACCTCCTGCCCCCACGGTGCCCGTGTCTTGGTTGTTCATAGGAAGGCACGTGCTTGTCGGGCTGGGGGTGTGCAATTCCCTTTGAGGAGTTGGGGTGCATTCTTTCAGAGATGGCCGGAGCAGCCCCGCTCGAGCATGCGAGCAGGGTTGCGCGGGTCCTCACTGTTTCCTCTCTAATGCCCCTGAAGCATGACTGCTGCTTCTTGCAGTCCTAAAACAGCAAACACAAAACACAGAGGGCAGAAGCAAGCTTGCCCCGAGATACTCCCATGCAAAGCAGTAGCTTGAAGTCACCAGAGTCAACCGTCCTGAGGGCCGTCCTACCTTTTGTGGTCTCCACTGGGGGTAAACATCTGTTGAGCAAGCGCGGTGGCGGGGGGGGGGGGGCAGGCAGGGGGACTCCCGGTGGCCGAGACCATGTCAGGTCTGCATTCCAAGTCCAGCAGATGTCCAGGGATTTGGGGCTCCGCTCACCCCGGGACCCGCTGTGAGCGGATCTTCACGCCACGGCTTTCTGTGGCCGCACTCGGAGGGTGATAAGACAACGTGTCTCAGCTGCCTCGAGGATGGATGGCGCGAGATAAGTGCCTCTAGAAGGCTAATTGGGGCGCCTGCCTGGCACAGAACAAGCGAGCGCTCCAGTCAGGGCAGGGCGGCGTCTCGGGCCTGGTCACTGCTTGCGCCTCCCTGCCATGCCCTTCCACAAAGGCTCCGTCCTGCGGAGGCCCCCGGTCAGCGCTCTGCTGACTCTCGCCGGAGCAGGGCTGACACTGTCATTTTGCGGGCTGTGTTTTGGTTACAGATTCTCAGAGTATCAGGAAGCATTAGCTCTCGGTTTATATCCCACCTTTCCTTTCTATTTCCCAGGGGCCAGGGCTAATGTAATTTTCAAGTAAAGCGAATGCCTTGAATTCTTGGCGTAAAGCAGTTCGGGGAAACCCAGGACAGAGAGCAGTGAGACGGGTTCAGTTATATGCCAGCAACTCCCCAGTGAACTGATTTACAGCAGATGCAGCTGAGCTTAATTCTGTGTTGTTATTGTTGTTGTTGGTGGTGGTGGTGGTTTTTAAAATCTTTTTTCTTTGGGGTCAGAGTGATAGTGCAGCGGGTAGGGCATTTGCTTTGTACACAGCGGGCCTGGGTTCGATCCCTGGTATCCCATATGTCCCGAGTTCCACCAGGAGTGATCTCTGAGTGCAGAGCCAGGAGTAACCTCTGGGCATCACTGGGTGTGGCTCCAAGCATCAAATAAATAAAATCTTTTTCCTTTGCTGTGGAGAACACGCCGGGCAGTACTTAGAGGGGTACACGGTTCCGGGGTTCAAACCCAGGGCTTCCCCATGAAGGCAGCTGTGCTCTATCTACCATTTGAGCCACGTCCCTGTCTCCCTCGTCCCCCACACCTATTTGTCTTGTCTTTTTTCTTTTAAGTAGAAGAGAGCCCGGCAAGCTACCGAGAGTATCTCGCCCGCATGGCAAAGCCTGGCAAGCTCCCCGTGACATATTCGATATGCCAAACACAGTAACAACAAAGTCTCCAATAGAGACGTTACTGGGCCCACTCGAGCAAATCGATGAACAACGGGAGGACAGTGACAGTGACAGAAGAGTTTATTGGAAAGTAGGAAAGAAAGGGAAAGGGACTCCCCGTGTGGGGAGGAACTTAGTGTAGGACTAAGTTACACACACACGTATTTTAAAAACTCAGTTACTGATGTTTAGGAGAAAAAGACATCCTGGGTCGCTCCCGTAGAGGAGAATCTGTTCAGCGCATGTCTGGGGTAGGGGATGGTGGCCCTTTGGCCATTCCAGCCAGGCTGTCCCCTGAGGAGGCATCATGGGCACTGGAAGCAGCTGTCTGAGCTTCTGCAAAATAAAGCTGGGCCCCAATCTGAGGTCTGGGGGGCCAAGCCAACACAGGGAATCCCTGCACAAAAGGGACTGCGCTTCCTAGTGCGGGGCAGGGGAGAAGGTCCGCAGTGCCAGTTCGTTCCCTTCATCCCAGTTTCCTTTCTGCCCTCAGACCTGCAATGCATCTTTTGCCACCCGAGACCGTCTGCGCTCCCACCTGGCCTGTCATGAAGACAAGGTGCCCTGTCAGGTGTGTGGGAAGTACTTGCGGGCAGCATACATGGCAGACCACCTGAAGAAGCACAGTGAGGGGCCCAGCAACTTCTGCAGTATCTGTAACCGAGGTAATCTCCCCGCTGTGTCCTCACTGCCAGAGGAGCCGCCTGGGCGCGTGGGGGAGGCCGCGGGTGCCTTGCCCAGCCTGCCGCAGACGCCGTCCTCTGCACGGCCCGGCCTCCCGGCCCGTTCCACGCTCAGCGTTCTCGTTGCCCAGCTAGCCCTTGGCCACCCCCCTTTCTTTCCCAGAAACTCGGAGGGGGGTGGTGGTGGTGCTTGGAGCAGGAGTCCCAGCACGTCAGCAAGGGAGGACAGTGTGGTCCCTAGGCTTGGCCCGTGACGCATCTGCTCCTCAGGCATGTCGAGACACCACTGGACCACTGAGCCGGGGGGCTGGGTAATCACTAGGCCGCGGGGTGGGGATCTGCCTCAGAGCTTTCGCTGGCTGATGACCTGGCAACTGGAGGTGCGAGGCAGGCAGAAACGGTTTAGCCCGAGTGGCTGGAGGGGGGGTGGGGAGAGCAGCTCTATCCCAGGCCCCTCTTGCGCAGGTGCCCCGAGCGTGCTGGTGGCCTCGGTTGACCTCCGTGGTGTCTGGCTTGGTGGCCCCGTGTCGTCTTTGGTGCTGTCCCTGGGTGTCAGGCAGGACTTGCTGACAGTCTATGTTTCCAAGCACAGTGTCCGTGGCGGCGGCTTGTGCCATCTGTCTGGTGGGTGTGAGGAGACTCCCACAAGGTGCGCTCACTTAGGCTGGGCGGGGACGTGGCTGGGAGGGCCGGTCTCCTGGGACACTCCTGTCCCCAGGCTCCCGGAAGCCTCAGAGTGACTTAGTGTGCTGAGCACTGCAGCTGGGCTCTCGGGCTAGCTCGTCCCTTCATCCTGCTCCGTGATCTTGACCATCCCCAAGCCTCCGGCTCTTCACCTCTCCACGGGGTGGAGACTCCCGCACTCGTCCACCTCTGCCTCACAGGGTCGTCGTGAGGCTCCCGGGAGATATGGGAGGCGATGGGGCTGCGAACCCTGCAAGGCGCTGCCCCCTCCTTCTGCTCTGAGACAGCGAGAGGGAAGATGAGGCTTGTGGACACTTGGCTTCAGGGCAGGCCTGGCACCTCAGCTCTGGGTGCCTGCGCGGTCTCCGTGGGCCCCGAAGATGGTTGAGTCGCCACATATTGGTGGTACCCGCGCGCCAGGTTTCTCCTGGGAACTGCACATCTGGCCTGGCCTTGAAGGCTGCTGGATGGTGATGCTCGAGCCGTCGAGACACCCGCTGTGAAAGCGGGAGGTGCTGATAAGAGCAGCCTGAGCTCCGGCCTGTGCTCAGTCAGGGGAGCCTGTACCTAGGTTGCTGGTGGGAATGTGTTCTCAGGGGTGAGCAGTGCCTGGGGTCATGCCCGAGGGGAGTTCCCAGGCTGTGGCTGACCTTCTTGTCCTTGGCTGCCCCACTCCTTGAGAAGGATGGTGTGTGTGTGAGAGAGAGAGAGAGAGAGACAGACAGACAGACAGACAGAGACAGAGAAGAGGGGGGAGGAAGGGAGAGAGAGCGGGAGAGGTGACTGAGCCCACACCCTTGGCCAAGCAAAGCTGTCTCTATCAATGACCTCCGTCCGTGGCCCAAAAGATCGTTTCTTGTCTTATTTCCCACTCACCTGGCTTCCTGAATGCGCCCCCAGGCACCACCAAAAACGTTTGCTACCCCTTGCATTTGTGTCAAGTTTTCAAGGCTGAAGTCCTCAGCCTGAGAACTGGGGTCAGGCCAGAGGTAGGGAACCAGGAGAGTGGGGAAGGACTCTGATGCTGAGACGCAGAGAGCCTTGCCCAGATGGCAGAGTGGGGCAAGAACTGGGAAGAAAACAAAGAAAAAATCCTGGACAGATGGGCTGGAGACATAGTACGGCAGTTAAGTTGCTTGCCTCAGTACGCAGCCAACCAGAGTTCAATCCCCACATGGTTCCCCAAGCCCACCAGGAATGATCCCTGAATGCAGAACCAGCAGTAAGCCCTGAGCATAACTGGGTATGTTGCCCCCCCACCTCCCACCGTCGTCCCCTGCTCTCCCCTCCCCCTCCAAAAAAAATATTAAGGAAAGAGCAGAGACCCAGCCCTGCCGGGCCTAGTTCAGAGACAGGAGAGGGTGCAAAGCCAGCAGTTCCTCTCCGCGAGTCCGTCTTCTGAGCACTGGTACAGAGGACTGCGTGACTTGGATGAGAAGCAGGGAAGGGAAACCCAGAGCCCACTCTGAGAATCTCAGAGAAGCTCAGCCAGAGCTGGATCACAAGCTCAGTCATTTTGCATGCCAGAGAGGAAGCAGAGAGGAAGTCTCATTCCGCCGGAAAACGGGAGCACTGGTCCCAGCTACAGTGTAGTCTTTATTGGAAAAGGAAGAGCAGGATTCTACCTCTGGATTCATTCTTTGGGAATGAGTGGTAGGAAGAGCTAATCCCCACTCTCCCTTCTCATCCTCCCATCTCCCCAAATAGCAGTCAGCACTGTCCTCCCGTTGTTCATCGATTTGCTTGAGCAGGCCCAGTAACGTCTCACAACAAATTGTGAGACTTGTTGTTACTGTGTTTGGCATATCGAATATGTCACAGGGAGCTTGCCAGGCTTTGCCGTGCGGGTGAGGTACTCCCAGTAGCTTGCCGAGCTCTCCGAGAGGGGCGGAGGAATCGAACCCAGGTCGGTCATGTTGGCCGCGTGCAAGGCAAATGCCTTACCCGCTGCGCTATCGCTCCAATCCCCTCCCCAAATAACTCAGAGGAAAAGGTAACCGAGACATTAGAATAAAAACGGCTAGAACTGTGCCCTCCTTTGCCCCCCTTGCCACCAAAGCTGTGAATAAAGCAGGAGTTGCCCAAATAAATCAGTGTTCTTCTCTGTCTGAAGGTTCGTGTTAGAACAGGCTAACTGTTCTCCAGCTGGGCAGAGGAGTCGAGTTTGGGCCATGAGGACTCTGGGGGCCTTCTGAGGTCCTTCCAGCCCAACAGCCCAATTAACTGTAAAACTACTCGACTGAGACGAACAGGGAAAGCGGATAGGCGGGCAGATTAACCTCAGCCTACATTTGTGTCACATGCAGTTTTGGGACAGATGGCCCTCTCTTTTGTCCTAGAGACCTATCAGGATGGGGATCATACCAGCTACGGAGGAGTATAATCTGCAGTTGTAAGGAGTATAATTCACCTCATTCACAAGTTGAGAAAATCAATTGGGTGGGGCAGGGAGGAGGAGGACACTGTGGCTCACCATGATGGTCCTAAGTTTTTGTGGCAGGGTCCTGTGCTGGTCTGTGGAAGGCGGGTAACTGGCTGGGAATCTGTCATTGGCTGAGAACGTATCTGGGCTTGGAACGTCGTTGCTTAAGAGGCAGGGGGATGTTCTCTGCAGTTAGCTGTGAGTGCGTGCGTCGCGCCACTGGCCCAGGGATGCAGACAACCTGCCGTGCCCCCGCACTGAGCCACGCAGAAACCCCCCCCCATGCCCCCCCTCCCCCAGCAGCTCAGTCAGCCGCATCCCCACCCTGGTTTGGACAAGGAGCCCCTGGGCATCGGGTGTAGCACCTGTGGGCAGAGCACTTGCTTCTGTGGTGCTCACTGCATCCTGCCGTGCGTGAGCATGCCGGTGTGGGTCATACGATCTTCAGCTCCAGAGCTCCAGGGAAGGTGGCTTTGAGGTGGCTGGGCGTCACGCACGTGTGCCTGGTTTCCGTCACTCGGAGGCTCAGCTCAGTGTGCCTCCTTAGTTCTTGCTTAACCGGTGGGGAAGGGGCAGGTGAGTTTAGAATCGCCGCAAACGTCCCTGGCTTCGGAGAGGCGTCCTTTTCACAAACTCAGCTTCGGTCTTAGCCCAGTGCGTGGCTGCGGAGTTGCACCGTGTTTCGGTTCTGGGCTTGAAGTGGCAGCTGTGGATCCACTCCTACCGCACACAATGTGGTTTTGCTATAGATAGTTTGCAGCTGGGGGGAAGTCAAGAGAGCCCAGCCACGTGTTTCGCCGACGGGTTTTCAGGAAAATGCAGCAAGTTGTCTTGGAGCATCTGCTCGGCTCCCCTGGTATAGCTTCTGCACAGAGAGCAAATGCGTAGTCCTGACGCTGCTTGCCGCCTCTCCTGCTCCCTCCGACTGCAGTGGGTTTCCCTGGGTGTGCCAGGCAGAGCTTCACACTACTTCGGAGGCTCCTTGAGGCTCAATTAAAAGACACAGGAAGCGTTCCATTCTAAAGTGGCATCCTGTTATCACGGAGCCCTGGTTCCTGTGCTGGTTACCACCGTGCCAGTCTGGGGACAGGGCTAAGATCCAGTCCTGGGACCCTGGTTCCCCTCTCAGCAATGTTTATAATGGACCTCTTCAGCCCCCCTGCCTGGCCCCAGCCACCTCCTCAGTCCCAGCACAGGACAACATGTTTCACTAGGCAGGGACACCACTGACCTCTGGCCCGGGCAGCAGTGTGGTGCGGTGCTGCTGGAGAAAGAAAGAACATTCACCCAGTGCCGTGTTTTCCTCCCAAACCATCAGCTGTTGTTTTCAGGGGAGTGTGTTCAATAGGATTCCCAGAGGTCAGCTCCTGTCTCAGCATGTGCTAAGCCAACACCACAGGGCAGGAGACCTACATCAGTGTCACTGGTGATAGTGAGACCAACTGCAAAAGTCCAAGGGTTGTTTCTGGGGCCAAGGCAAAGACAGAAAAATCATTAAAGAACAGCCAACCACCGTAGCAGACCTGAACCCTGTTAGGCCTCGCGCCAAACACAGCTGGGAGTGACCTCTGGGTTCTCAAGCACGGCTGGGTAGCACCCCTTCTCCCCCGCCATAAAATATAAGAGTCTGACGACTGGCCAAAGACCAAATTCTAGCGGAATGTTCCTGGAGATTAAGCTGTTCCACTCACCTGTACATGTGATTCAGATCAAGTTCACCAAATTTTATTTCTCCTTCTGTAAAATGAGTACAGGGGCTGGAGAAATGGTACAGCAGTTAAGGTGCTTGCTTTGCATGCAGCCAACCAAGTCTGAGCATCCCATATGGTCCCTTGAGCTCTGCACTGTAGCACTGTCCTCCCGTTGTTCACCGATTTGCTCGAGCGGGCCCAGTAACGTCTCCATCGTGAGACTTGTTGTTACTGTGTCTGGCATATCGAATACGTCACGGGGAGCTTGCCAGGCTTTGCCGTGCGGGCGAGATACTCTCGGTAGCTTGCCGGGCTCTCTGAGAGGGGCGGAGGAATCGAACCCGGCCCGGCCAGGCTGGCCGTGTGCAAGGCAAACACCCTACCGCTGTGCTATCACTCCAGCCTTTGAGCACTACCACGAATAATTTGTAAGTGCAGAGCCAGGAGTAGCTCCTGAGCATCACTGGATGTGCCCAAACCCTCTGCAAAAAAAAAAAATGTATTAACATCGTTCCCAGCTCTAGGATGGTGGGAAGTCTACAAAATGACGCATGCAATGTACTGGGTTTGGTGCACTGTCATCCTTTGCTAAAGGTGGTCCTTCATGATGGGTCCATTCCAAAGACCATGGCAGGGACTGGAGAGATAGCACAGCAGGCAGGGCGCTTGCCTTGCACACAGCCAACCTGGGTTTGATCCCAGAGCCCCTTACGGTCCCCTGAGCGCAGAGTTAGGAGTAAGCCCTAAGTACCACAAGGTTGGCCGCCCACCTCACACACACACACCCAAAGACCGTGCCAATTCTGACTTTAAGAACACATCTTTGGCGATAGTACATCAAGTAGGGCACTTCCTTACATGTGGCCAGCTGGGTTTTATCTCTGGCATCCTATATGGTCCCCCAACCTCCACTAGGAATAATCCCTGAATGCACAGCTAGGAGTAAGTCCTGAGCACCACCACATGTAGCCCAGGAACCAAATAAATTCATTTTTTAATTAAAAAAAATTTAAACAACAAAAATATCCTTGGCAGACATTATACAGTACTCTCCAGTCTTTGGCCTGTTAGTAATGGATCCCACTGTTACCCCATGATTGTGATTTTTAAAAGGAATGAAAATCCCTGAGAACGTGGCTGCCAAATCTAGCGTGGATTAAAGGGGCACCACTAGGATACTAGCCCCCCACGTGGGTCTTACACTCAAAAGCCTCAGTTTCATTTTCAGATCCTTGACCGAGGCGGGGCCTAATCACAGTGGCTGGTGTGGAAGGTGGAAGTTAACCCGAGGCCTACTTTTCCTCCCCAGCCTGAGATAGCTCATGGCTCAAGAGACCGGGGCATCAGGGTCGTGCAAGAGCAAACTCCCAGCTGGATGAGCGGCCCCTCCCACAAAACAAAGATGACACCCAATTCTTCTTTAAGAAGAACCAGGGCCAGAGAGTAGTACAGCAGTAGGTAAGGCACCTGCCTTGCAGCATGCCTGGGTTTGATCCCCATTACCACATAACCTGAGCCTGTACAGCCAGGAGTGAGCCCTGAGCCCTTCCAGGTGTTTCCAAAAAAGAACCTGAGGATGCTCGAAAGGACCCCAATGAATAAGAGAGGACTGCCTGGTTTTGTTCATGTTGTTCAAAGGCCTGAAAGGAAAGCAGAGATGTCCTCAGAGAAGGAGGGGGGCAAAGCCTTACACAGGGCCGACGTGGGTTTGATCCCCGGCATCCCATATGGCTCCCTGAGAACCGCCAGAACCAATTCCAGAGTGCAGGGCCAGGAGTGACCCGAGAGCACTGCCAGGTGTGATCCAAAAAAAGAGAGAGAGAGAGAGAGAGAAGGGTGCTCTATTTAAGGCATTCCTTTGGGATTTCGTCTCACCACCATCATCTTTGGGGTCCAGTCCACTTTTTATGGGCGTTCCGCAGGCATTCTGCTGCCTTGGAGCCCCGTGGCTGCACTAGGGTGCTGTGTATTTAGCTCTGACTGTGTTGTGGCTGTAGTGCCGGTACCTAGCTCGGGGCTGTGAGTTACCTGCTCGTTCATGTCCCTTGTCGCTGAGGCGTTGAGGAAGCCTAGCGGTGCCTGGGCCTTTCACTACGGGGCTCTGCAGAGAAGCCAGTTCAAGGCCAGCGTGCCTCCCTTCCTCCTTAGCCAGGTGGCTCCCATGGTTGCGGCCATTTTTGAGCCAAGGAGGGGTCCCCCCCCCAGGTGCAGCAGCTGACCTGCGAATGCTAGCCAGGACGGCCAGAGGAGAGGCATGGGGGAAGCAGAGAGGTGTCTGTGCTGGCCAGCCGCGGGATCTCATCTCCTTTTGTCTTGTTTAGGTTTCTCCTCTGCCTCCTACTTAAAGGTCCATGTTAAAACCCACCACGGTGTTCCCCTTCCCCAGGTCTCCAGGCACCAGGAGCCCATCCCGAATGGGGGAGCAGCGTTCCACTGCGCCAGGACCTATGGCAACAAAGGCAAGCGACCCCTTGCTCTGCACTTTGCTTCTCTGCGCAGACTGTGTCGTGGGGGCGCTAGGCCGGGCGTGGGGAGGCGGGAAGGCTGCCGGCGGACTGGCTGCCTCGAGGAGGCGCGGAGATCTGAGTGGCAGTGGCCTCCAGAGCAAAAGTCCCAGCGGTCCTTCCCTCCAGGGCAGTGAGGCTTTAGGGCACTGCCAAGATCCAGCCCCCGCCTCCTCTCCCCTCGCCCTCCTCCCTTGCTCCTGGCCAGCTCCCCCCATTCCCAGTCTGGAGCCCTGCAGGGATGCCCTGGCTCAGGGCCGGAGAGGAGCCCCGCATGACTAGTGGTTCTGGGCCTGTCCCCTGCCTGCCCATCACCTTTAAAGGTGGCGTGCAGCTGTGGCGACTGCCGTGTCCACCTCTGCCCTTGGGGGCAAGGGGGAGCCAGGGCTGGCTTCCGCCTCCAGAGGGGCGATGGGTCACGCGAGTGGCCCTTTCTGGAGGGCCCCTGGCTGCGTTGCATGGCTGTAAGGGAGCTCCCCGAGCACCTCTGATGGAGCTGGTTCGCACAGAGCTCGCGAGGTCCCATCTGCACTCGCTGATGCAGTCGGTTCGGTGGTGTTTCAGGTTGTCGTTGCCTGGGGGATGACGCCAAGGGCTTGGCAGATGGCAGAGATGGCATGCTCCATGCTCCCATCCACGATCTCCCTTTCTGGCCAGGCTCTCCGGACCCCCGCAGGAGGATGCTGATTGGTGGGGAACAGTGCCAGAGTGGACCAGGCGAGGCAGAGCAGTGAGGGTTGTCTCGAGGTCCCGGGTGGCCTCGGCCCTGATGTGGGGAACAGCCAGTTGAGGTGTTCAGAGTTTCTCTCATGTCCGTGCTCAGGCTGTTTGGCCCTGGAAGGGTTTGGGCCGAGAGAAGGTTGTAAGGACAGTGCTTGCATCTGGAGCTCAGGAGAAGGGTTGGTTTGCGTCTCAGACATGGATGGGGTCTGCCCCAGGTGAGAGCCTCGAGGCTCTGGTCCTGCTTTGCGAGGGGGCAGCTAGTCTGGCACAGAGGTGAGGCCCGTGGCATACCCCCTTGACATCATCAGGACCACCAGCTGTACCCCCAGGGGCAGCCGAGAGAGCGTGGGGAGTTGGGGATCTTTGAGTTGTTCTGGTCGGAAGTGGTGGAGGTCCCCTCCCCCAGGCGGGCCGAGACGGTGAGCAGTTCCAGGGGCACCTGCATGAAGCGAGTACGGTGAGGTAGGCTGGCAGCCCCGGTGCCCTGCTCTGTGGCTCTCCCCTGTCCCCCTAGGCACTCCAGGCTCCCAGACTGACCGGCTGGACCTCTGGGGTTCTGCTGGGGCAGTGGTGGCCACTGGCTGCTCGACAGAAGCCTGTGAGCTGGCCCCTCATGACCCCTCCAGAAAGGGGGGCCACTGCCAAAGCCCGGCTTCATCTGTCCCATTCTGTTTTCTCCTAGAAGGCCAGAAATGCTCACATCAGGATCCGATTGAGAGCTCCGACTCCTACGGCGACCTCTCAGACGCCAGCGACTTGAAGACGCCCGAGAAGCAGAGCACCAATGGCTCCTTCTCCTGTGACATGGCTGTCCCTAAAACCAAAATGGAGTCCGACGGGGAGAGGAAGTACCCTTGCCCCGAGTGTGGGAGCTTCTTCCGCTCCAAGTCCTACTTGAACAAACACATCCAGAAGGTGCATGTCCGGGCCCTCGGGGGCGCCCTGGGGGACCTGGGCCCTGCTCTCAGCTCACCTTTCTCTCCCCAGCAGAACATGTCTCTCCTCGAGTCCTTTGGGTTTCAGATTGTTCAGTCGGCGTTTGCGTCGTCTTTAGTCGATCCCGAGGTCGACCAGCAGCCCATGGGGCCTGAGGGAAAGTGAGGCAGATGCTGCGTCCCCATGGAAATGGCCACTGGGGACTACTGAGAAATGCTGTGAATGCGGAGGGAAGTGATGTCTTTGGGTTCTGTAGCTGAGAGATTTTTATTCGGTTGTTCTTTGTTTTGTTTTTGGTCTTTTTTTTTTAAACCCCCCTCTCCCCTCCCCTTCTCCCACTCCCTATCCCCACAGCAGTCTTTAGAAATAGATTCTCATAGGAGACTCCGCAGTACCAGCTGCGAGATCCAGTATGGGACAAGGGCAGAAAACACTACATATAAAGCCAGACCGTTTCTCGCCTGGGGAGCAGCTAAGATCCCCAGTGCTTGGTTCTTAGCAGCCCCTGTTCCAACCCTTGCCTGATGGTCTGGGACCTCATTAACTTTGGTCTCCCCCCACGTCTCTAATCACACACACACACACACACACACACACACACACACACACTCACTCACTCACTCACTCACTCACACATACACCCTCTCATCACCCTCAAAAGAAACCATAGTCGGGTTTCTACCATCTACACGATACTGATGCCCAACTGTTTTTAAGGAAGCTGGAAGCCTACAGCATCCTCTGGACCATGGGGTCAATGTCCTCTGGGAGCCCCTTGAGCTTTGCCCTTGACCTGGAGAGCCCCAGACCTTTCTGAGCCCTGCCTGATGGCTAGCATTTCACTCCTAGGACAAGCTCAGCTATCGAGGACATCCCCACCCCCAGTTCCAGTTTGTCCTTGGTTTTAACCATCCAACTTGCTGTTGGGTTTTAATTCTCTAATTATTATTATTATTGTTATTATTTTTTAGGACAAGTTGTAGTGAATTGCTACTGAAAGCTATCCCAGGTGATACAGAGCTCTCTGTAAACCGCAGTCACATGTTAGGGTTAGTATTAAACTTTGTTTAGATGTACCATAATTAACTTGGCTAGTTGATTGTTCGGAGTCTATGGAAGAAATAGTTTTATGCAAAATTTTAAAAATACCAGTCTGGTCAGAATATGGGGGGGTGTCAATGCAGGCGGGAGCCGAGGAGGCGGGATTGCTGGCTGATGGGGACAACCGTGTACCTCGGGGGGTGTCTGTCACACATGAGCCAGTCCAGGCTGACCTCGTGCTGTGAGTTGATCTGATCAGACTGTATTAAAAATGTTAGTATGGTAACTGCCTGCTCCCTGAGTCTGGTTTTTCAGGGGATCTTTGGTGCCTCGAGGGCAGGCCAGGCTGTCTGTACCCTGCACCTGGGGTGGGGATGCTGAGACCTCTGTACCAGTTTCCCTGGGATTGGCATCCCATACGGTCCCCCAAGCACCACCAGGAGTGATTCCTGAATGCAAAGCCAGGAGTAAGCCTTGAGCACTGTCAGGTGTGGTCCCAAACCAAAACCAAACAAAAAGTAGAGTAGAGTGGTGGCTCCCGTGCCCACGTGACGCCCGGGGTCTGATCCCCTGACATTAGTAAAGGGGGGGAACGTAGAAAGGCTGGGCAAAGAGAGTGAGTGCGATAGCAGGAGTGTGGGTAGAGTGTCCAAGGGGCTGTGAAACTCAGAAGCCCTCTGGGTAAGGGACAGAGGGGCCTGAAATGCAGCTGCCCGGGGCCTAGGGAGGGAAATCCTCAGCCCCAGGGGGTTCCCCAAAGCTCAGCATCTTGAAGCCCCCAAATTCCACGTAGCCACAGGGATAAGAAAACGGCTACGTACCCTTAGTGATGACTTTATGAATGGGGGAAAGAGGAAAACAAAAGCACGCGAAGAGTATAGTGAGGAATTACTGGAAGCAAGAGTTGGAGGTAAAGGGCCCGGCAGACTTAACAGCACCTGGGAAGTCCAAGAAACCTCCTAGAAAAGCAGCATTTCGCCTCTCGGTAAGTAGAAAGGAAGAAAAAAACAAATCAGAGAGAGACCAGGAAGAACAAACAAAGCAGAAAATACTTCAGATCCATGTTAGTGTGAAGGGCAGAGACTGAGCTGGATTACGAAAGCTTCTAGCTGGGAAGGGCAGAAAGGTAGTTCAAAGGGCTGAGCATGTACGATGCTGACGGGAGGCCGATGCTTGATACCCAGCTCTGCGTGATCCCCTGAGCACTGCCATGTGTGGCCCGAAATAAAGAAAAATTCCAGGCCCGCCCACATTTTCAAACAGGAAAACCCAGAGCTTGTCTTCACAAAGCTGGCCCTCAGTGGAATCCCCAGCACTATATGGTTCCCCAAGCGTCACCAAGGGCTCACTCTTGTGTACCCAGTGAGTATGACCCCAAGATAAAGCAAAAACAAAACAAGCTTGTAAGTGAGGTCAGGGATACAGCTTTATGGCAGCATACAAGCTGGGTATGGGTGGGGCTCTGGATTTGAGGCCCAGCACCCAAAAAACCACCACCACAAACCTCCTAAGCCGTTAATTGACACAAAACCTTGGGTGAGTAGCTGAGTTCTGTGTTTTTAAGGAATGAAGCATTCCCTAAAGGGGAAGGGTGACTGTGAGGCCTGGGGGTCACCTGACGAGCACTAAAGGCAACTTGTCCTGGAACAAGGACTTGACCATTAATCTCACCTGCCTCACCTCTGCCACTTTCCAAAACTCTGGTCAAAGGCTCACAGAGAGGTCAGGACTACCGGAACTAACTCACATGGTAGGAAAGGAATAAGAATGAGAGCAAACAACCACTTCTGCTAATGCAGTAACCTGTCTTGGGCTAGAGCAATGGTACAGGAGGGAGGGCATTTGCCTTGTATGGGGCTGACCCAGGTTCAGTCCCTGGCACTACCTATGGGCCCTCGAGCCCCACCAGGAGTGATCCTTGAGCACCACCACGGGTGGCCCAAAAAACAGAAAGCACCAACCTCAAGACATGAGCCACAAGCAGAGGTGCCGGGGGCCCCAAACCTCCATGTCTTACTGATATACCGTAACCTTTAGGCCAGAAGAAGAAAATTTGCAAAAGACAGGTGAAAAACAGGCGGAATGACTGCCACCTTGCGCGTAGAGGCTGAACCTTGGCAGTTAAGCTCTACCCTCTGCCCTGTGGCGCCTGTGGGCAAACCTCTGAGCCGTCGGTTCCTCCACAGTAAAGTGGGGCTCTGAAAAGTGAGCGTTCTCTGGGCCTGATCTCAGCTCCGCATCAGGTGTGAGTCCCCTCATGCTCCCCCTCCTGCAGATGAGCAAACCGACTCAGAAGTGGAGGGAAGCCTTGTATGGGGCTGACCCAGGTTCAATCCCTGGCACTACCTATGGGTTAGTGTCCCCCACCCACCCCAGGACAGCCACAACACACACCCAGGTCTGTCCTCATCCTCCCGAGCTCCAGTGAGGGTCTTAACACACAGGCACATGCCCAGAGGAGACTGCAACCCTGCTCAAGGTTCCCTGGCAAAGGGCCTGTGCATGGCAGCAAAATAAAAGCTGCCAAGGCGGTCAGGCTGGTGCCAACGAATGTGCCCGGAGACCCTGTGTGAGAAAACTCCTTATGGGTGACCCCAAGACTCTCTGGACCCCACTGAAAGTCTCCCAGCACCAGTGACCTTGAGGCACTTGCTTCACGCGGTTGAACTGCCCGAGAGCGCTGGCCTGTCTCCACCCTGGCAGAGCTCCAGGAGACCCCCTAGCACGACAGGCCTCTGGCACACACCACTACAGAAAGATCTGGCCACTGAGAGCCAAGAACGGGCAGGACCTGGGAGCCTAGCAGGTCTGGGACTGCTGCTGATCTCGGGACATACTTTCTGAAATGGCTTTTTACAATGCTGGCCATTCCCCAAGCCTCAGTTTCCGTATCTGCAAAGTGGGGATGAAAGAACCAATGGAAGGTGCCAGTGTGCCGGATACAAAGCCAGGCTGTCTGTGGCAGCTGGAGTTCTCGGACACCTCCCTTCCTGGGACGCCTCTAGCATCAGTCCCCACTTTCGTGATTAAGTTCCACGTATTGAGCCTCTATTGAAGCCTAACCTGAGTCATACTCTGGTGCTACCAACAGTGACCATAGTACTCTTAAGTGCCAAGTAGCCCATATGTCAATTTAGGTGGCCCTCTAGGCAGCTCAGAGGCTGGCAAGATTTTTACAGCAAAGCCACTTGCCCCCTTAACAGCTGTGAGAAGAGCAATGAGAAGCTGAACCCCGTAGTCTAGACTCAGCCCTTTCCTCACTGCCGTCCCGACTGGCTTGACCCCCACTGCCAGGCGACCCAACGCTCCTAAGGTGACCATTCTCAGTCTCTCCCACCAGTTCTACTTTACCCCTGCCACCCGGACCCAATTCTGGGCACAAATCTTCCCCTCAGCTCAGTTTCTGGGCTGCTGCGGCTCCGACCTCCCCTGGCCCTTCAGCTCCCTTCCTGGGTCCTCATGGTGGCCTGATGCCACGTGGTCTGTGGGGACAGCCTGCTGTGGAGTCCAGAGCCACCACTTTCTCATTTGGGGGACACTTGGCAGGTGCACATTGAGAGCACTCAGAAAGCTCCCTTCTACCTTACAGGCACCCTTTCCTCCCTTGGGAATAAGAACGAACCAGAGCAGGGACAGGCAAGTGTCTGTGAAGATATGGAGGGTAAACCTTTCGCAGAGGCAGGCGGGCAAGACTCCGATGACACTTCATCTGCAAACACTGGAGTGTGGCTCATATCATTTTTATCTCTTACAATTTTTATTTTTTTTTGCTTTTTGGGTCACACCCGGCGGTGCACAGGGGTTACTCCTGGCTCTGCGCCCAGGAATTACTCCTGGCGGTGCTCAGGGGACCATATGGGATGCTGGAATTGAACCCGGGTCGGCCGCGTGCAAGGCAAACGCCCTACCCGCTGTGCTATCGCTCCAGCCCCTTACAAGATAATTCTTGGAATTTTCCCCCCCAACTCCTTATAAATTGTAAAAGCCATGCTTTGCTCACAGGTGGTACATAAATAGTGGCTTGGGCTTGGTTCCGAGGCCTGAGTTTGTATCTGCAAGAAACTTCCACTGGGCAAAAAAAAAAAAAAAAGCTGCTTCTCCTGCTTCTCTTCCCTCTCCTGGTTTTGGGTCTTGGACTTCACTCAGCCGACCCCAACTTTACAGTCAACAGATCTGACACCCCATTTGTGACTGCCATTGATTCAGAGCCAAGAGTAACCCCTAAGTGTTTGGAGGATCCTCCCAGGAGGGGAGATGCATGTCGAAAGTAGACTATGGACTGAACATGTTTGCCACTCAATGCCTCTTTTGCAGACCACAACACCGAAAAAGAGAGAGAGAACACAGGGAATTGCCCTGCCACAGAGAAAGGGGGGTATGGGGGGA